CGTGTGCGACACTCCGCCTTTGAAGGGGTTGCACCTTCTGCAGACGAAGCAGTGGGTCTATTTATATCCCCCCGACCCACTGGGGGTAAAGAGAGAGAAAGAGGAAGAGAGAGATAGAGCTAGAGAAAGAGGAAGAGAGAGAGAGAGTGGATGTTGATATTGTTGTGGTTGTTGCTGTAATTGTTGTGCAGTTGTTGTCGTCGCAGTTGCAGCCGTTGTTATTTTCCAAGTTACTGTCATTGTTATTGCTGTTGTATTTACTACATTGCTGCTGCTGCTGCTGCTAATGTAGTTTATATGCTGTTGTTTTTATGTTGCTGCTGCTGCTGCTGCTAATAATAATAAATAGTATTTGTATAGCGCATATCCCTGCTCAACAGCAAGCTCTATGCGCTTTACACTATATTATTACCCCAGCAGACCACAGAACACTCCGAAACATTCTCAGCTTCCCTGGAAGCATACAGTGCAAACAGCTGTAATTAAGCGCTCAAACACTAACAAACTGACAAGATTTTTCGCTGTCTATAGCCGGGTACCCATTCCCACCTGGGTGAAGTGAGGAAAATTTGTGCAAAGTGCCTTTCCCAAGGACACAACGTCGGACCCCTGACGGGATTCGAACCCACGACCTTACGGTTGCGAGCCCGAGAGCCTAACCACTAGGCCACCGACGCCACAAATGTTGTCTTTATGCCGTTGTTTTTATACTGTTGCTTTTGTTGTTCTTGCTGTTGCTACTGTTGTTGTGGTTATTGTTGTTGTTGTCATTTTTTCTGTAGTTATTGTTCTGTCCCCGTGGTTTTATGCACCCCGCATAATTCAGCAAAATTGACCATTATTTGCATAACTTCTGATTATTTTCCTTCATAATTCTTTGTTAAAATTAACAAAATCGCTTGATTTCACATTTTTGGGCCCAGTCTTGCATAAAACGACGGGGACAGACTGCTGTTGTTGTTGCTGTTGTTGTTGCTGTTGTTGTTGCTGTTGTTGTTGTTTGTGCAGTTCCTGCTCCTGCTACATGTAGCTGTTGCTAGTGGTTTTGCCTGTGATTTTGCTTCTGTTGTTGTTGTTGTTGTTGCTAATGTCGCTGTCCTTCTTACTCTAGTCTAGCTGTTGGTTTTGCCAATCCTGCTGTTGCTGTTGCTATTGCTGCAGTTGATGTTGCTACTACTGTTACTGCCGTTACTATTGTTACTGCCGGGGAGGGGGGGGGGGGGGGGGGGGGGTTACCCTGCCCAAATCTATCATCTGCGGCTTTTGTGTTTAGTTTAGTAATAACAAAAAAGTGTGCAGCATTTCGGGTTTTGAACTTAGCTACATGTGTACATATATATTAGTCTTACAGTAAACACGCAGGAGAAGGTAAGTAAAGAAATAAAGAAATGAATTTGAAAAATAAATAAACAAATACAGTGTACATAAATACATAACTATATCTGAATAAATAAATAGATTTAAAATACATAAATAAATAAATGAATAACGTAGAGCAGCAATTTTGTTGTTGCTGTTGCTGTTGACAAAATTGCTGCTGTACATTGTCATTCTTGTTGCTGCTGTTTTCACTGTTGATGTTGTTGTTTCTGATGATGTCTTTGCTACTTTCAATTTTTGGTGGGGGGGGGGGGGTTGTGTTAATGTTGCTGTTGCTGTTGATGATGTTGCTGTTGCTGTTTACAAAATTGCTGCTGTACATTGTCATTTTTGTTGCTGTTGTTTTCACTGTTAATGTTGTTGTTTCTGATGATGTCTTTCCTACTTTCATTTTTTAGTGGGGGGGTTTTTGTGCTAATGTTGTATTTGCTGTTGCTGTTGATGATGTTGCTGTTGCTGTTTACAAAATTGCTGCTGTACATTGTCATTCTTGTTGCTGTTGTTTTCACTGTTGATGTTGTTGTTTCTGATGATGTCTTTGCTACTTTCAATTTTTAGTGGGGGGGTTGTGTTATTGTTGTTGCTGCTGCTGTCGTCGTTCATGTTGTCGTCGTTGTTGGTTGTTGCTGGGGGGGGTTGTGGTAATGTTGTAGTTGCTGTTGCTGTTGATGATGTTGCTGCAATTACTATTGTTGCTGCTGTCTGATAAGAATAAAATGAAAATGTTGGTACAATAGCATCAAATGCTGGAAAAAAAAACTGAAACATCAACACCTTACAGAGACTGTGCCTGGACTGTCCCCGCGGTTTTATGACACACACAAAAATTATGAAATTATGCAAACTGAGCCGAAAAATGTGACATTATGCGATTCTGTTAATTTTAACAAAGAACGATGAAGGAAAATAATTCGAAATTATGCAAAAAAATGATCAAATTTTGCTAAATTATGCGGGGTGCATAAAACCCCGGGGACCACCGGGGACAGAAGGATGCCCAGAACCACACCCAGTTGTTGCTGTTGTTGTTATTGATGTTGTTGATACTGTTGTTATTGTCACTGCCGTTGTTGTTGTTGTTGTTGTTGCTACTGTTGTTGTTGTTACTGCTGTTGTTGTTGTTGTTACTGCTGTTGTTGTTGTTGTTGTTACAGCTGTTATTGTCATTGCTGTTGTCATTGTTGTTACTGATGTTGTTGTTGCTACTGTTGTTGTTATTGTTATTGCTGTTGTTATTGATGTTGTTGTTGTTGTTACTGTTGTTGTTATTGTTATTGCTGTTGTTGTTGTTGTTGTTACTGTTGTTGTTATTGTTATTGCTGTTGTTATTGATGTTGTTGTTGTTGTTACTGTTGTTGTTATTGTCATTGCTGCTGTTTTCCTTGCTGTTCATTCACTCAGCCATGGGACCAAGGACCCGGTCTTCTGGCTGTGCCAAGTGGTTTATGGTGTTTTTGTAAAATCTGAAAAAAATACTTAGTCAACTTCAATCGCCCTACTATTTCACACACACACACACACACAATTTGTTCAGTCATTACATGCACTAAGACCGTAAACAGAATTTAAAAATATTTGACAGTCTGCGAGATATCGCCATGTGAAAAAGGTCACCAACACGCACTAAAAAGTGGCTCGGATGAAAGACCAAGACTCGTTCTCATTTCCCACTTCGTCACCACACGCTAAGTTATATTCAACTGTAGGTGAAAAAAAACAGCAACCTTTGCCCTTGTAATAGTCTGTTTCTTATAAAGAAATGGCAAGGGGGCACTTATCAAATAAATATAGTCTGTTTTTATTTGATGTGTGTTTACGTTATTAGATCTAACCCTTTCTGTACGTTGTGTTTTACTATCGTATCCATACGATGTGGGGAACTCGATGGGCCACCACTTTCCAAAGAGGAAATTTACTCATTGATCCGATCCGTACGCTTTGAATAGCAGTCTGTCAAAATGATTTTTTGAGAAATACTAAAAGTTTCAAAAAGATCTTCGTACTAGAAGTATTTTAAAATGTGAAGAATACAACCCCGGGGGTACAAAATGACCCCAGGGCATACGGATAGGGTTAAGCAGCAGAAATTTCCACCTCGATACTGTCAGGCACAGGGCCCAGTGCGAAAGAGCGCAACCCGACTATCTTGGGCTGAGGGTTGAGTGAGTTAATGCTGTTGTTGTTGTTATTGTTGATACTGTTACTTTTTCTGTGTCCCTGTGGTTTTTCTTTTTGTTAATGCTGTTGTTGTTGTTGTTGTTGATACTGTATCTTTTTCTGTATCTCTGTTGTTTTTCTTTTTGTTAATGCTGTTGTTGTTGTTGTTGTTGATACTGTATCTTTTTCTGTATCTCTGTTGTTTTTCTTTTTGTTAATGCTGTTGTTGTTGTTGTTGTTGATACTGT